GACAGAACAAAGTCTGTGTTTCTAGGCTGAGAGAGTATCCATGAATGGGGAATGGGCTCCCAAAGTCCATTCATACACTAGGGATAAATACTAGAACACTTAATCTGAATTAATATTCATTTGTTTTTTTTCTTGTTCAATGAAAAAAATAAATCTCAAACCCATTTCCTGTTAGTTTTTAAGGTTTACTGTGATTTACCTTTGCTTCTATACTCCATCTGTCCGTCTGTCCATCCATCTATGTGGACTCAGGAGCTAAAATTCTTCGTTCAAATGAATTTATCATTCATCATGACTCAGTATCTATAAATTAAATTATTTCATTAGTTTTTATTCCAAACTAAGTTAACAAATTACACAAAAATTACTTCTGAAATCTGCTGGCATTACTATAAAATAATACTATATTATACGTGTGCACACACATACATGCACACATATACACACACACACACAGAGGAATAATAGACAAAGAGGTAATTCACTGTAAGCCTTAAAAAATAACAGGAAATGGGTTTGGGATTGTTTCCATTGATCAAGAAGAAAAACAAATGAATGCTATTTCAAATGTTCTATCAAGAAGTTATGGCACAACAGTATGTGTATATAAATAAAACTTATCCCATACTGCCTTTGCCTTTATTTTTCTTAACCTGGAAATACAATATTCACTCTAAATATGCCAATTAAAGTTTCTGTTTTGTTTTAAGATTTATATTGTTTTTTTCTTATTTCCTACTTATATCTGTTTTCACCCCATTTCACCTGTGTTTCAGAACCCGACTCAGGTTGGAACAGCTCTTCAGGTTTTCCATAACCTTGGGACTTTGAAGGATACTGTTACCAATGTTGTGGATGGTTATTGTACTACTTTAGAAGACAGTATCAACAATGCATTGGATGTCAAAGTTTTGACTCAGCCTTCTCAGTCAGCTGTGAGAGGTACGGGAATGGTTTATATTTAGCTCCTTTATTTATTTATAACAGAGAAGTTCTTTGAGTAGTGTGTCAAGCACTCATATTTCAAAACAATCTAATGACTCATTTTTAATAGACAAAAAATGAGAGAAGAAACTATGTTTCAGAACTTATTTATAAATTTTGTGTAAAATCAGTGAGTTGAACTGGCCAGTGGTATATTCAGAACCTCTAAATAAAGAGCTGGGGCATCATTTAGTTGGAAGGAAACAGATACAAAAAAAGAAAAGAAAAAAAGAACCAATCGTAGTTTTCTTCCTAAAGTTCTTATCCTGATAGCACTTTTTATTGGGAAAGAAAACACTTTTAAGGAATTCCATTTCTACTTTAGCTTTCTGGGCTTATAATTTCCATACTGAAAAACAGTAATGATTGAAGCAGTCAAAATGGATCAAACCCTTGGTAGGATAACACCTATGACTTGATGTAAAGAGAACTGCTACTAGAAGGTAGACTCTTGGCAGCAGATAGCCCTAACTTAGTGCTTGGGTGCTCTCCCTGCTGTGATGTGCCCTGTCACTCATACTTCTCCATAGAAGGGGAAGACCACCCACTGTATGTGTTTCCTCCCTCCTGCACGTCCGTCCATCCATTTCTCCCCATGTATTCTTCTCTTACTAGTCTAGAAGAAAAGAGTGTTCAACTCGTCATTAAATCCTACCCCTTCTCAGTTTTGCTCTGCTCTGAGAGCTTGTCAGTTTTCCTGTCTCTGAGTTTCTTTTTGATCACACAGTTGTCCCTATTCTACCCCCTTTAGCTTAAAATCAGATATATCATGACTCCCCTTGCTTTGACCCTGATATCTCATGTTATTTTGCCAGACTACAGAAAAATTTCCCACATTATTATCTGTACTAACTGTAATATTCCCCCCATATTTTTATTGAAGGCACTCTGACAATCACAGAGTAGTCCTGAAGAAAACAAAATGACCATGTAGATTAATGATTCTTTCTAGTGCATATGTACTACAAAAGAATTTCATTTTTTCTGGTGGTGGTGGTGCTCACCTCAGCCTTATCTGCGTTACAGGACAGCCAAAGCTATACAGAGAAACCCTGTCTCAAAAAACAAAAACAAAATATGGTTTTTATACTTGATCTTTAGCAAAAGTGAGTTCATAGCTCCTGAATCAATTGCACTAGAAAAAAGTAAAAGAATCTTATGTCTCAGCTAGATTTTTAAAGATTTGCTTCAGCCTCTGAATAGATCCATATCCATACGATTACCAAAGGAGTTTGTTGAAAAGAAATCACTAAAGGAGATTTGATATTTTCCTCTTAAGTTTTGCTTGGAATTATTTTCAGAAAGTTTGATATAATGTTTAAATTTCTAGGAGCTATTTAATCTCATTCCCTCTTGTGCTGTCAAGAATGCGGAAAATGAAAGTAATTACTCACATATTGTGAATCTTAGTGTAAGCCTCTTTTATACAAAGAGTAAAGGGTCTTAAAGCTGCCTCTCTGCCATCTGTTGAGAAGTGGGTATCATGATGTAAAATAGAAGTCTTATGCATGGTTTCTCATCTTTTCAAAGAATATGAAATAATTTTCATGTTAATTGTCTCATACATGTTGAGAGCAAAATTTTAAACATTAATTATAAATTTTCTATAGATTTAATATCAAGTAATGTATTTTTAAATGTTACTTTGAATATATAAAGAACACAGAAATGCATAAAGATAGCATAGTGATGGATACCTTTAGAACTGGCATCCATGAGCCGAGGCAGGAAGATAGTACATGTTTGAAACTACCTGGTGAGATTATGTCTCAAGAAAAAACAAACAAACAAACAACAAAAAAATGAACTACAGCAAAGCCCAAGTTTGCAAGCAGACTGCCTAGGCTACATGGTGATACCATGTCTCAAGAATATAAAATATAACAAAGCTACAGCAAAACCTAAGTTTGCAGTCAAGCTTGGAAGGTAGCTGTGTAGCTCTGAATAGACTTGTTATAGGACCACATATTCAATAAACATATGAAAGACATTCACTATCTTTTTAGGGGATTAGGAGCATCCAAATAAGCAAGATACCATTTTTTCTCATTTAGTTAATCAGCATCTAAGACATAGCTTTTAGAGGAGAGCAAAAACCCAGTATTCATGTTGTAGGTGAGTGATGTTTAGTCCCTTAACCTTAGCAGTTTGATTTCTCAGATTAAAATGATGTGTTCCTTATGAGCCTAACTCCTCTGTAAGGATGTGTCCTAGAGGAATAAGCTGCATGTGTATACGTTTAAAAATATTATTGTTTTGTGTGAGTGTATGATGTGTAAGGGTCAGTGCACGAGTCTGGTAGCATGTGGGAATCAAGAGCACTCATGGAACTCTTCTCTCCTTCCGCCCTCACGTTTGTTCTGGGGATTGAAGTCAGGTCATCAGGCTTGTGTAGCAATGGTTTTATCCACCTACCCACATCACTGGCCCAGCAATGAAAATAACCTGTGTTCTAATGGAAAATTGGGAAAGATTTTTAAAAAATATATCAGTGTAAATAATTCTTAGAAACAGAAACCAAGAAAGGAAGTTGCAGAAAGGTACATTCTTTATGATGTGTAAAGCCCCAGAATGTGACGGTTTATGGTATGTGTTGTTTTGGATATGTACATTTACATCAGAAGTTTAAAATCATGGGATGATAATTCTAAATTTTTGAGGTCCTTTGATCTAGAGAAAGAGTAAAGGAAACAAGACTAGAAAAGAAGAAATGGAATATTATTTTATTTTCTGTTTTGTTTCCTAAACTTGGAGCTAATATTCACATTATTATTCCATATGTACTATTGTTTTACAACTGTTTATTCTGTGTATGTGTACGTATGTGGGCACACACATGCTGCATTGTGTGTGGATGTCCCAGAACAACTTATGGGAGTAGGTTGGCTCTGTCTGTCTACCATGTGGGTCCTAGGTCACCAAGCTTGGTGGCAAGTGCATTAACCAATGGAGCCATCTGCCAGTCCTCATATGCTTTTCATATGCTGAAGTATTCTATTATCCTTGAATCTTGTTTTTATATTTTCTTCATTATATTTTAAATGATTTGATTCTCATCTCTTGTCTTTTTCATGTTAATTCTTTTCTATATTTCTATATTTGGACTTCACAATACAATTGATTTTTCAAAAATGCTGTTTTTGGAGTCCTTACATGGTTTATAATATTTTTTGTCCTTGTGCTTAAATAGTTTGTGCTGATATAAATTTTCATTTATACTTTCCTTCCCTTAGAATTTTGCAACTTTTTCTGGTTCAAACTGTAATGTTTGTCTTCCTTACTGAACTAAGAAAATAACTGATGTAGAAATTTAGGAGATAAACCCGATCTAAAGAAATAACCTTACTGTATCACCTCAGAATGACTTTGTACTCAATGCCATCCTGCCCTGCTTCAATGACACGGATAGCGTGGGATTCAAAATTCACCCTTGTACATATAAGGATTTAAAAGCAGATAGGAAGACATTCACTGTTTTGCTCTAAGTCACTCCTCTTCACATGGAAGATCAAGTGATTGGTTGGAAAAGAAGAAAAGATGTTGTCTTTTTCTTCCCTGGGAAAGAGATGAGGCCCAGGAAACATAGAATCCCCCTACAACACACACAAAGTGTGTGTGTGTGTGTGTGTGTGTGTGTGTGTGTGTGTGTGTGTGTGTGTGTGTGTATGTTCCAATGCATGTTTGTGTAGGGGCCAGAGGTTGATGTTGAGAAGTCAACAGCTAAGTGTGTGTGTGTGTGTGTGTTCCAATGCATGTTTGTGTAGGGGCCAGAGGTTGATGTTGAGAAGTCAACAGCTAATCTCTAGAATTACAGGTAGATTCAGAGATGTGCTTTAGTAATCTCTGCCTCTTTTCCTAGTAAATTGACAGTGGAGGCTAATCCTCAAACTGCCTCTCAGCTCATCCTGGGGATCACTGAGTTTGAGGACCATTGTCCTACCTAGATCAGACTGTCTTTCCATCATCTCTCCATTATCTCTAAAACTTCCAATTCCTTTGCAGCTTCCATTACCATACATACCATCCCTGCTGTATTTTCTATAGTCGTAGACTAAATCCTAACAGTCATTGAAAGAGAAAGCACACCTCTCAGGTGACTAAGTAACTATGTGCAACCTCAAGATTCACTCAGTAGGAAATTTCTTGTCTGTTTCACAGTGGTGCTTACAATTGATTTTAAAGCAGTTTCTTACTAATGTCTCCTTTGTCAGTTATCTGGTCTATTCTTCCTTTTAATTTATCAATGGCATTTGATTTAAGTACTGCTTATCTGATTCCTTATTTTAAGTAAAGTTACTTACTTTTGTTTGTTCTTAATCTTGCTGGCTTTCAAAAGAAGAGAATATCATTAACTAGAAATCATCCATAAGTATTTTTTTTTATTTCAAGAACTCTTAGTATCTTTTATTACTTTAGTAAAAACCAAATTTATGACACAGTTTATATGCCCCTTGAGTCTGTTAAATCTAATCAACGAAAGCATCCATTTGTTTTAAAAAGTCTTTTTTTTTTGCTTGGGGGGGTGTTCAAGACAGAGTTTTTCTGTGACTTTGGAGGCTGTCCTGGAAGTAGCTCTTGAAGACCAGGCTGGATTATTTGAAAAATTCTTGCCTTTCCTTTATGTTGGTATTCTCTTTAGTCATTTGGTTATTTTGGTTGTTGTCATATCTTCAGTACAATGTGACCATAAAAATCTTTATGTGCTGTTTGTTGGTTTTCTTTTTACTTCCTTAACAATGTGTCATGAGAAAAATTATTTAAAGGGAAGGAAGAAATATTAGTTTTGTCTCAATAAGAGAGCAGCAGACTCAGGGCAAGCATACAGTTCAGGAGAGCCTGGGGTTTCCTTCTGTAGGTCCAGCAGAAAGACTAGTCATTTGAAAAGAAGGGTGGGTGTAGGTGGTATTTTGATTGATAGACTTGGGTTGTGCATGCCCTTTCCCGGGATGTATCTGGTTTTAATCATATGTATGTCCAATCAATGAATATGTATAATTAGGAGATTTTCACTAAAAGTTCACTCAGAGGAAAAAGTTTGCATTATTGTGTTTGTGTCCAAAACCAGTTCAGCCTGGACCAACCCATGGATCCTAGTTTCCAGATATTCCAGGCTATGATTGGCCACAGAAGGGGAGCCACTAACCAGTTGATAGCAAGAGGCCACACATTCCTTGTCTGTAGCAGGCTGTGCATGCAGCTTAGTGGAGGTGGGGGTGAGAGGGTCACAGATTGGTAAGTGCCTTGTTTTGTTTTGTTTGTTTTGTAAAAGAGGTGTATATGTAGCTCAAGACAGGCAGAGTTACTTGATACTTAGCTTTTTCTATACTTGCCTACCTCAGTTATGCAAAAAACATCATGGTAGCAGGAGTGTGTGGTAGAGAAGGTGGCGGCCATTTCACCTCATGGCCGCCAGGAAACAAAAAGAGAGAGAAAAAAGGAATAGGGAGCCAGGGATAAAATAAATATGTCCTGTAAAAGCATGTCCCATACTGATGTAGTTTTAATTAGGCCTACCTTGTTAAGTTTCCACTGATTCAGGACATGACCCTTTGAGGGACAATCAAATTTTAACATCCCATCTCTGGCTCCACAGGGTCACATCCATCCCACATAGCAAAGTGATCAGTCTTGTCTGTGTGTTCTCATAGTTGTAATAGTTCAGGGTTGCCTTCAAATCCAGTTCTAAAGTTGATACCTAGACTTAAGACAAACTTTTACCTGTGAACATCAGTAATGGTTAAAAATAAGGTTGGCATTTCCAGCATATAATAGTGCAGAATAAAGCAAGAAATGGGGTTAATGGTTAGCTGCTGTATTATGTACAAAAAGAGAGATGAGATTAACCCTCCTAGAATCCAGTAGGACAGACATTAAGCACGGTTGCTCCGTGACCAACAGGTAGGACATGAGCTCCGGAAGTGTCTGCCAAGTCCCACCCTTGGTCTTGCAACTGCAGCCTTCATGGTTCAGTTTGTTGCTTGCAGCATTCCTCTGCAGATGGTTCATGTTCCTGGAATCTCTAGCTTCCTAAGTCCCCATTACAGCTTGGGCTCTACTCTCATAGCTTCATGCAGCAAGTTTTGGGGGACTAGCCACGGCCATTTTGTCCTGCTCATACACTGACCTTCCAAGTATTCTTCTGAAGTCTAAATGGAAGTCTTTATGACTCATGTATTCGGTATTCAGAGTCAGCATTAAATAGTCCATGCCAAGGTCTACTTCCTACTCACACAGTAACCAGGGCCAAGCTGCCATGGACCCTTGAGTTCTTTGGTGTCATGGTCAATGACACCAACCCTTTGTCTCTGTGTAAACAAGGACCCCTCTTCTCTAAAGCAGAGTCTTATGGGATTTGTCTGGCCGATTCTTGAGATACCTTCAAGGCATCTTGCTATCATTCTGGGCTTACCTCCTACTTGGTTCTAATGTTTAGAGCAAACGACCTTACATTGCCTTCATTTTAAATATGTGGTTTGTTTGTTTGTTTGTTTGTGTGTGTGTTTTCTGCCAAGACTCATAAGTTTTATTATGATTTTTCACTCTGGTTTTTGTCCCTATTTTCACTTTAAATCAGGAACAACATAACCAGCAGTAGTTATCCTATAGCCTGAATACTTGACATTTCTAAGATAATTGGTCTTTTATCTTTAAATTCAACATTTCCTCAATGTCTTAAAGTATGGACAAACTTTTTGATAGCCTGTAACACAAATAGCCTCTAGTCCAGTTCCCATTTCCTTCTGTGACCCAATGTACCTTGCCTTGAATGTGAATTCTTACCAGGGTTTTAATGTTCCAAATTCCCACTGAATTACCTCAGAAGCAGACTGTATCCTTTTGCTTTTATTTATTTTATTTTTAATTTTTATTATATTTTATTTATTTCTGTTTGTAGGTGCATGCCTGCCATGGTACTTGTATGGAGGTTAGAAACAACTTATTGGAGTTGATTCTCTTCTTCTAATATGGGAGGCCCAGGACTTAGGTTCAGTCTGCCATGCTTGTCAGCAAGCTCCTTTACCTGCGGAGTCATTTGCCAGCCCTTTATCCTTGTAAAATGATTGTTTCTCCCTATTTATTCATGACTTATTTTTCATCAGTCTACTCATACCAGTATCCTATCGGATGGCCTGATTTTTTCCAAATTGTTTTGAGGAAACTGTTACAACAAAGGGATGGAGAATGACTGGTTTGAGAAAAGAGGGAGGCTAAGACAAACTGCCCTGTGGAGATGGGTTGTATAAAGTAAGCATCTCTGGGCTGAAGGCAATGAAATGAAGGAGGAGAGTATGAGTACCATTAAGTATGGAGAAAGAGAGAAAGCAGGCAGAGGGAAGAATCCAGGCAGAATTTGGCCGGCAGACTGAGCCATATCATCAGAGGAGAGAGGAGAGGGAGGGCAAGAGAGGAGATGCTGAGGGGTGACCCTGGCCAACTTACATAGGGATCTGGCCTCTTGAAGGGAATCAGAAACCCAGCCCCTATAAGGCAGAGGGTTAGGGTAGGGGGCATGGTGAGAAGTGCTGGGAGGAGTCACAGGTACTGAGGGATGCCGGGAGCTGGTCAGCTTCCTCTTTGATAGATATGTTAATCGTCACCTCAGCCATTTGTCCTCCTTTCTGAGACCTAACAAGGACCATGTGAGCTAGGATCAGATCTTGAAGTGAGAGAGCGAGTAGGAACATTATGAGAACACTAAGAAAGTTAGCTTAAAGCAAAATGAATAGGAGAGATAGTTGTCCTGGACACTGTGGCAGGATCAGGCTTCAGGGGAATCCTCTGAACGAAGTGGGCTATTCTGACTGTGTTCTTTCAGGGAGTGTAGGAAGCTCTATACATCATTTTAGTCTGCATGGTGTACTGGATAGGACCATAAACTCTTTCAGCTTCAAGCAGGAGGAGCTCCAAAACCTCAGCTCACCATAGCAGGAAAGCTGCAGGAGTCTGTGGCCTGACTCCTGCAGACTGCCAGAGTCTTTTAGAGTAACCAACAACTTTAAGTGTCAGTCTTGTGATCCAATAGCCATCCCTTCCAGTCAAGTTCATAGTTTTTTATTGTTGTTGTTTTGATAAATAGCCATTTACTCTGAATGTTTTGCACAATTTTCGAGGGGTCATTATCACTCTGCTTTTTTGGTAGACAGGTTTGGGAAATGTCTTTAATTTCCATTGCATTGTTTACTTTACTCTGTTTATAATGAGAATATTGGTTGTTGCTTTTAAAAATATACCTGAACTAGCTGCAGGCCTGTTACATCCAAACTGCACACATAGCAAACCTGTTACATTTATTTATTCCTTGATATTCTTTTTGCCCATAGCATATATTCTGCTAAAGTAAGAGTTCTGCGATTTTAAATTATTTGGATTAACTGGTTTCCCCATGGTTGTATTGTTAATTTGATAATTTCATTGACTCTATGTTTACCTAAATTCAGTTTTAGGGCTTGTCTTTGTCTTTCTTGTAAAATTAATTTTGAATATATAAAACATTTCACTTTGTTTCATTACTCTTTTCCTTTTAAGGAAACTATTTTCATTAATTTTATTTTGTTTTTATGGTCCCATGCATATGATTATGTGGTATTTCCTTTCCTTACTACACACAACGATTCTGTTTATATTGTGCATAAGAAGCTATTTGTGAGAGATGAGACCTCTTGGTATTTGTCTTCTCTGCACTTTCGTTGTATTTGGGAACTCAGATTTTCCCCATTTCTCTGTTCCTCTTAACCAGGAGGTCCTGGGCGAGCTACCATGCCAACTCCAGGAAACACGGCAGCTTTTCGTGCTTCCCTCTGGACCAATATGGAGAAACTTATGGATCACATCTGTGCTGCTTGTGGACAGGTAAATATTTCAAAAGATGGGAAGAGCAAAGGCTGGAACATGTTGCACCTTCCTCTCCTTATCCACTTGTTCCTTATGCTAGCAGAAATGCTATTTTTGAGGAATTTCTGAAATATACCTTGCTTTTTCCAATTCCTAAGTGTTAACGTTGGCTTCACTTGGAAATGCCCAATTAAATATACTTTGCCTCTTTCTCCTTTCCCACCTTTAGGTACAGCATCTACAAAAAGTACTAACCAAGAAGAGAGATCCTGTTTCTCACATTTGTTTCATTGAAGAAATAGTTAAGGTATGTCTAAAGAAGGATTTTTTTGTATGTTGTTCATGCAGACGGTAGGAATATACCAGCACGCATTACATAGGTCACTGCCTTATAGGGTAACTGTGTATCAAGGGCAATGTATTTATTGACAGTTATAAATTTCCCTTGCAAGGCAGTGTCAGCAGGGGTGTGGTCTAATTTCTGAAGTGCACTACACACTTCATATTTCTGACATGTATGTGATGGCTTATAACTTTTTCAAAATTTCCACTAGAAAGTAGCCTGAAATATTTCAGTATTTAAGAAATTTAAACAGTAATCATGAAAACATACTCACTTATGGCCATAGAACTCATTCCATTATTAGTTTGCCCCATGATTTTCTTTGCTGTGTTCACTTTTCATGTTGTAAAATCTCCCCTTTGTCCTTTACTAACCTGCTAGCTTCTTGGACTATTAGGACTCCTTTCAAGGCAGATAAATCTCTGATTCTATATCTTAGTCATTAATTTTGAAGTGCTTTTATAGTTGTTAACAGAATAAGGAATTATTCTGTTTATTATTAAAGCTTAACCTTGAGTGTGCTAAAGAAAAAATATTATTGTGTTTCCATTATCATGGCATAAGTAGTTTTATTTGTAACTTCATACATTATGGTATTTTATATACTATGTTAAACACCACCAAGATTGCCTTCATTTGGGTGACTGAATCAGAGTCTCAGGACCCAGCCTGTAGTTTGACTGATGCTAGTGATATATTACACTTATATAAAGCAAAGTCAGTAAAAGGAATTGGTATGGGACATCAATTGCTATCTCCAACAAAGCCCTCCTTGAGGCTACTGGTCAAGGGTCAACTGCTGCCTAAGATGTATCAACAGTCTAGAACTAAAGAGTACCAAATGGGTACTCTGTAAACAACCTTGTATAGTTTAGCTAAGGGAACAACTTTTATCAGCTAAGAATCGTATTTTTCAAGCTCCAAGTCTCCAGACTCCACCATAATCAACCTTCAAAGGGTCCTTGTGTGGTTGCTCACAGCTGCTGCTGGGCCAGCGCTTTTCCATACAGCATTAAGAGCAGGACTCACCTCTGGCTTTACCCTGCTTCCTTGCACATGTGGAAGATGCAGCTCTGTCTGTTTGCACACTCACTAGTTATTTGTGTGTTTACTAGGCTGTGAGGGACAGTACTGGACCTACAAGCAACTTTACATGCAGTGTGCTCTTTTGCTCTGGTCTTTGCACTCACATCAACTACTTTGTTTTTTGTAAGAAGTAGCCTGCAATGTTTTTACTGTCTGATAACCTATATTTTAAAATTTCATTTTGTATTTTAATATCATGTATACAACATTAATTAAAGTGAAACAGTAACTAAAGTGAAACAGTTGAAGTGATTTTTAAAACATATTTTAAGTGTGGGTTAGCCTTCATGCAGAGGTCAGAAAAGAGAATCAGATCCTCTGGAGTTATTGCTAGTTCTCAGCAGTGTGGAGGCAGGACCTGGGTCCTCTGGGAGAGGAGCCAGTGTTCTTAATCACTGAGCTATCTTACCAGTACTCTCTCTCAAGTGATTATTTTAAAAGGTTAAGAATTTAAAAATAAGGTAGTAGCCAACCTGATTATGGGAGAAGGCCAGTTCAGACACCCTCTCCACTGTTGCTAGAGGTCTTAGCTGGATCATCCTTGTGGATTCCTAGGAGTTTCCCTGGCACCAGGTCTCTCCCTACCATAAAATGCCACCTCCTGTCAAGATATTTCTTTCATTAGTCGCTTCTTCCATTCACTCCCCCCCATCCTCCCCGTCCCCCCAGTTTACCCAGGAGATCTCATGTATTTCCCCTTCCTAGGGAAATCCTTGCATCCCTCTTTGGGTTCTCCTTGTTCCCATAGCCAAGCACTGGGTAAAAGCCGCAGCAGTCCAGGTGAAGAGAGGGAGGAGGGATTGTAAAAGCCAGAGGGCGTCCACGTTATGACAGGAAAACCATAGAGACAGCTGACAGGAGCTAGTGGGAACTCACAGCTAGAGAGCCTATATGGGGCAGACCTAGACCCTTTGCATGTGGGTGACAGATGTGTAGCTTGGTCGGTTTGTGGGACCCCTAGCAGTGGGACCAGGACCTGTCCCTGGCTCAGGAGCTGGCTTTTGGGAACCTATTCCTCATGCTGGGATGATGCCTCCTCACCCAGCCTTGATGCAGAGGGAAGAGCTTCATCCTGTCTCAACATGATGTGCCATGCTTTGTTGACTCCCATGGGAGGCCTGCCCCTTTCTGTATGGAGGAGGGGTGGGTGGGGCGGGGGAGACAGTAGATGGGAAGGGAACAGGAGGAGAGGAGGGAGGTTGGTGTATAAAATAAATGATAAAAATTAATAAAAAATTAAAATTAGTCCTATTAAAAGGGCATATGTTTGTAATTGTATTATATTTAGGAAAACTTTTACATAAAAATAGTTGTAGTAATTTGTACAGGCCAGATTTTTAATATTTTTATGCCATTAACTATTAAAAGATCCCCTTTTAATATGCTTAAAATATGCTTCATTTTACTCTCCCATTTTTACTTATATTCAGATTTTTTTTTTTTTTGCTTTTGTTTGTTCATTTTGTTTTGTTTTCTTTTCAAGCAGGGTTTCTTTGTGTATCCTTGGCTGTTCTGGAACTCACTCTATAGATCAGGCTGGCCTTGAATTCACAGAGATCCACCTGCCTATGTCTTCTGAGGGCTGGACTTAAAGGTTTATGCCACAACTGCCCACCAAAATAAAAACCTTAATGCAAAATATTCATCATTTGTTTAAATGACAGCACCTGTGTTTCCCTGTCTTTAATGTTTTTAAACTTGTCTTCCTTGTTATAATTGTAAGCACATTTTCAGCAGGATGTAGTGGTTAGTTCTAGTTACTTGGGACTGGAATGGAAGGATTGAGGCAGCATGGTTCCATTCCATTTCAAGAAGTAAACAAAACAGCACAATAATTACACGTCTATTTAGTAACTGTATTGTTTTTGTAGTTTAGAGGGGGCAGAAGAACCTTTGTAAAAAGTTCAGGGTTCTTAGATGTTTTGGAGGCCCATATAATAATCTTTGTATGCTTTGGCAAATTAAACCTTTTTCTAGTGTCTTTCATGTGTTCTTGTTTCACTAGCAGTTTTTGTATTTTTTAAGGCTTTTGAAGAAGGACTTATACCAAATATGTAGAAAAATTTAAGTACATACATTTATAAAAGTTTGTCTATGTTTAGAATATTGTTGTCTTCCTAATTAAAATTCAGCCTTTTATGTTTGTTTCTCTGTGTGAGTGTACCTGTGTAAGTGTGTGGGTATGCATGTAAGTGTTCATGTGTACATGTGTAAGTGTGAGTGTGCATGTGAGTGTACATGTATAAGTGTGAGTGTGCATGAGTGTACATGTGTAATGTGAGTGTGCATGTGAGTGTACATGTGTACATATATAAGTGTGCATGTGAGTATACATGTGTAAGTGTGAGTATGCATGTGTACATGTGTAAGTGTCTGAGTGTGTGAGTGTGCATGTGAGTATACATGTGTACATGTGTAAATGTGAGTGTTCATGTATAAGTGTGTGAGTGTGCATGTGAGTATTCATGTGTGAGTGTGCATGTGAGTACATTGTAAGTGTGGGTGTGCATGTGAGTGTACATGTGTGAGTGTGTGAGTGTGTGAGTGTGCATGTGAGTGTTCATGTGTGTGTGGGTATGCATGCGAGTGTGCATGTGTACATGTGTAAGTGTGTGTGTGCATGTGAGTGTACATATGTAAGTGTGTGGGTGTGCATGTGAGTGTACATGTGTACATGTGTAAATGTGAGTGTTCATGTGGAAGTGTGAGTGTGCATGTGAGTGTACGTGTGTGGGTGTGCATGTGTACATGTGTGAGTGCATGTGAGTGCATGTATAAGTATGTGAGTGTGCATGTGTATGTGTGTGTGTGTGGGTGTGCATGTGTACATGTGTGACTGTGTGAGTGTGCATGTGAGTGTTCATGTGTGTGTGGGTGTGCATGCGAGTGTACATGTGTAAGTGTAAGTGTGTAAGTGTGCATGTGAGTGTACATGTGTAAGTGTCCCACGCACATGTATTTGTGCATGTGCATGTACGTGTGGAGACCAGAGGGAGACGTCAGGGCCCTGCTCTGTCACTCTCCACCTCATGCCTCTGCGCCTGGAGCTAGGCTGGCGGCCTCCTGTCTCTACCGCAGTGCTGGCTTGTCCATAGTGAAGTCATGCCCACTCTCTTCCCTGTGTGCAACTCAGGTTCTCATGCTTTTCTAACCAGCATCCTTCTTACCCATTAAGCCATCTCTCTAGCTCCTGGTTTGTCTTTCAAATCTGTGAAAATATATTTTAAAAATAAGACAAAACAATGTAAATAATTCCTACTGAAAAATATTTCTGCCTGGCGTTGGTGGCGCACGCCTTTAACCAGCACTCGGGATGCAGAGACAGAGGATCTCTGTGAGTTCGAGACCAGCCTGGTCTACAAGAGCTAGTTCTAGGACAGCCTCCAAAGCCACAGAGAAACCCTGTCTCGAAAAACCAAAAAAAAAAAAAAAAGAAAAATATTTCTTACATTACAGTTTTTTTATATTTAGAAATTAAGCTTTTTTTCCCTAAAGAGATCAATAGTAATAAACATGTTTCTTTTTACATTAGAATCAAATAGAATTTAAAAGATTTATATTTATTTATTAATTAATTTTATACATAGTCTATATCAGAAATTGAGTGAAAGGTCAATTAAATGGTGCTTCCCATTGGTTTTCCTGTGTGGTATAACTGGCAGTATAAGAATAGTGGCTATGAGTGGGGAACTGAGCCTCTCTTCCAGATTTCCTGGTTGGAACCAAGCAGTTCCAGTGCTTTTGCAATTCACTGGAGACTAAAATAGAATTTCTGTATTTGATAGTTCTTTTGACAGCTTCTTTCCTGTTTCAAAAACGTCTCATTATCTCCTATGTCAAATAATTGTTATAATTATTGTCTGTTACTTTTCAATTTT